TCTCTCTCTCTCTCTCTCTCTTTAAAATAAATAAATAAATAACTATAAAATTCTGTAAAAATTACGATCTGATGGTGGTAACACAAATAGGAAACAGGAGAAGGAGCAGATTTGAAGGTAAACATGAAAAGTCAATTTTATATATACTAAGATACCTATGGAACATCCAGGAAAAAAAATGGGATGGGTAGTTGAAAATCCAATACTAGATCTCAAAACTTGAGAGAAGGTAGAAGTTATAGCTCAGAGGTTGTATGGAGTTACCAAGAAGGAATACAGGGTCAGAAGAAACAATAGTTAAGGACAGAACCCTTAAAAGTGGAAAAATGAAGATAAGGCAAATAATATGACTTTTATTGCTTTTCATAAAACTTAATGCTATCTGCTATTATATATGCATTTCCTTCTTTCATGCCAACTGATTGTTTTATTGTCTTACTCAGTACCAGAGCTAAATGGACCATCTCTAGTAGCCCTTATACATATTTAAATATGGGTGCATTTGTTCTTACATAGCCCTTAAATTCTTTTGCTCTTCCTTTAAGGCCAACACAGGCCTATTGAGATGGCAAGCCAGTTTTTATCTGAAGAACATACAGGGCATCAAAAAAAAGCTAAGGTTTAGGATGTCTTACAGATGTTCTAAGAAATTACAGATATGTGGGCAACCTTGAAGTACTATGATGTGGCAAATAATATGCCTGATTCTTTCTCAGTAGAAGTTTGAAAGTTGAAGGCCAGGTGCAGTGGCACACTCCTGTAATCCCAGTGGCTTGGGAGGCTGAGACAGGAGGATCGCAAGTTTAAAGCCAGCCTCAGCAACAGCGAGGTGCTAAGCAACTCAGTGAGACCCTGTCTCTAAATAAAATACAAAATAGGGCTGGGGATGACTCAGTGGTTGAGTGCCCCTGAGTTCAATTCCTGGTACCAAAAAATTAAAAGTTGATTTTACCTTGAATTTTTTTGTTTATTGGAAAGAGGATAATTATAAGGACGACAGTGGAGTTCCCATCCTGATGAATGATATAAAATTGCCTGTGGATTTCTCTAGCACCAGTTGTTTTGCTTCAACCAATAGTGCTTATGGCAGCCAAAAATGAAAAGCGATTTGAGGCTGTCATCCTGGGCTTCTCTGAAAAACTAAGGGAGTGCCTGTTTGTGCCTGACCAAGGGGAGTTTTTTGTCACAGTGGGGAAATGACTAGAACTGGATAATTCACTTTCTTTGTTTCTGACTAGTGCCTTGTGTTTTAATTAACTTTTACAAGTGAATAATGGGCAATAGCCACAATTCCCTTGGCTAGCAAAACAATCGTATAGTGTTCTATTACAATATAAAAAATGTGCATAAGTCTTTGATACTGGAAGGTTTTATGGCACTTTAAAATTAACAAGCTTGTTTTATTCTCTGCATATACCAGTAGATTTTTATGACCTTTTAAGTCCATTCTTCTGTTAGGGTATTTTGTGTGTATATTTTTTGTCTGTCTTCCTTTACTTGCATTTAGGGAACTTCTAAGTCAGGCTGGTTTCAAATCAATTTTTAGAATTTTTACCAAGTTAATCCTAGTCCTGTTTTATTCAGATGCTAACCTTTTAAACCTTTCAACTTCACCTCTCCCTTAAAACCAGTTACTAACTCAACTGGTTGCATGAATGAAGGGATTGAGGCTTATAGATAAAGTTGCTATACTGGTCTGGTTTTCTTTTTTCTTTTTTTTTTTTTTGGTTGTTGTTACTCTAATGACATACATGAGGCTTGGTGATTTTATAAAGAAAAGGGGAATATAACTGCTAACCCATAGTTTCATGATTTAACCATAGTTTACCAGATATAGTTCTCTTATGAAAGAATCGGTGAGTGACATCTAAAGGCAGTTTTAATATGGAAAATTTGAGGAGGGGCTCCATAGCATAAGAATATACTTAACATATATTGTGACCACTTACAATTAAATTTTCTCTTCTTGCAGTAAGTACAAATGGATTCTAGGTGAGGAACCTGTGGAAAAACGAAGAAGGCTCCAGAATGAGATGCCAACATCACCTCTGGATTATTCCATGCCTGGATCTTATAGGAGGGTAGAGGCAGCTGTTGCCTACGCAGAAGGGGAGAACAGCCATGATAAATCAAGTTCTGAGAGAAGTACACCACCATGCCTTTTCCCAGAATACCCAGAAGCAAACAAGAATACAGGACAGAATAGGGAAACATCAGTTCTATATCCAGGGGCCCAAGACCAACGCCAAGGGTCCCTGCTTCCTGAAGAATTAGAAGATCAGATGCCAAGATTGGTAGCAGAAGAATCCAATAGAGGAGAATCCAATAGAGGTAGCACAAACATAAACAAAGAAGAAGTGAACAAGGGACCTTTTGTAGCTGTTGTTGGTGTTGCAAAAGGTGTTAGAGATTCAGGGGCCCCCATTCAGCTAATCCCTTTTAACAGAGAGGAGCTTGCTGAGAGAAGAAAAACTGTTGAATCCTGGAACCCAGTGCCTTATTCTTCTGTGGCTTCTGCTGCAGCCATTGGGGAGAAAGGAAGAGGCTATGAGGAGAGTGGAGGTCGTAACACACCAAAGATGAAGAATCAGAGAGAACTGGAAGAATTGAAAAGAACCACAGAAAAATTGGAACGTGTTTTGGCTGAAAGAAATTTGTTCCAGCAAAAGGTTTGGGCAACATCTTACCACTAGGAATTAGAGCTCATTGTAATCAAGGGTATGGGGTGTTGGTGCTCTGATGGTTTCACGTTCTGAGGCCTTTAAACAAAATATGTCAATGAACCATTCTGTGGTATGTTTCAGATTGAGTGAGCCCTAATGGGCTTCCCTTCCATATTTTAGGGTTGAAAAGAAATTTCTATAATTAATTAGAGGAATATGTATAATGGAATCACAGGGTAAAGATAGTAAGAACAATTTTGGGCACTCTATTAAGGTTTCAGTAGTATGTGGGCTCATTGAATTTTTTTCTTGGACTTCAGGTGGAGGAGCTGGAACAGGAGAGGAATCACTGGCATTCTGAATTCAAGAAAGTTCAACATGAATTGGTGACCTATAGTACCCAGGAGACAGAAGGGTTATACTGGAGCAAGAAACACATGGGTTATCGCCAAGCTGAATTCCAGATTCTGAAAGCTGAACTAGAAAGAACCAAAGAGGAAAAGCAAGAATTACAAGAGAAATTGAAGGAGACAGAGACACACCTGGAAGTGCTACGGAAGGCTCAGGTCTCCTACCGGACCCCAGAGGGAGATGACCTAGAAAGGTTAATTACTAGGGTTTAGTTATGAGCTTGTGAGTGCTAATGGGAAGCATCTCTTAGGACCCCCAGTTAATGGTCATAGACAAGGGAGGAAGCCTTAATTCATAGGCCACCAAGGATTGGATAATTACTCTTAGAAAGCCTCAGCTCCAATTTCCATGTGTTTGGTGGCATTGTGCTTTCTTCTTTCTTTTTAGCTAATGGAAACATAATTGTTGAGAATGTAGGCCCATTTTGAAGGGACTTCATTTTATTATGTTGGCTAATGACTTCATGTCATCTCTTCTCCTGCCCCCTCACTCTATCATACAGGGCTTTGGCAAAGCTTACGCGACTGCGTATCCACGTCAGCTATCTTCTTACTTCTGTCCTCCCTCACTTGGAGCTTCGTGAGATCGGGTATGACTCAGAACAAGTGGATGGGATCCTGTACACAGTGCTGGAGGCAAATCACATACTGGATTGAGCACCAGACTATATATATTCTTTTCTTTTCAGCCTGTGTACTGTATATACTCTTTCCTATACTTCTCTATTCTTCTCTTGCCTTCCCTCTCTTCTCTTTTTCCCTTCCTCCCAAACACACACACAAAAAACTTCTTTCTCTCTCTCTCTGTCTCCTTTATGCCATATGTAGAGAATCTTTGAGTAAATCCTGGATCTTAATCAGTCTGCTGCTTACTCAGTTATGGTGTAGACAGAGAAACCAATTAAATAGACTTTCAAGGTTCCAGAAACAGAAAAGCAAGAGTCACCAAGCTAGGTGATCAGAAAGCTTTTTTACTTGGCCTATTTTATATCCTTTCTGAAATGGTTCATACTTGTTTTGGTCAGTCAGTAAATACTAGGTCCAACATACCTGGTGTTTCTTGATGAATTATGAAGTACTCATGGTTTCAGCCTACTAAGGTTCTAACAAGACACCAAGTTACCTAATTATCCACAGAATTATATGGTTTATACAAGTTAGTGGTAAAAACATAGAAATAGGGGAAGGGAGCTCAAGAAAAGCATCACACCAGAAATGGGACCTAAACTAAGGTTTAAAGAATGAGCATGGCCATACTGTTAACATGTATTGTTCTTTAGGTGGTAGGATTATGGTTGATAATTTTTTTCTTCTTCCTATCTTCCTGCCTTTTTCAAATTTTCTATAATAAACTTGATATTCTTACATTTGAAAAAATGAATTATTTTTTAAAGAACAATTAGACTTGGATTTGGGTATCAAATGAGAGACTGTGAAACTATATGTAATATTCCATTTATTATTTAGGTTAAATTTAGCATTACCTCTGGAAGAACAGCATGCATGAACAAAGACACAGAAAATTCAGAATGGGAAAATTGTTTTAGGTAGGAGTGGTAGGTTAATGTAAAGGGAACTGAGATTAAATCAAGACCCATCTACCTACCCACTTTCCCATCTACTATGGTATTTGCTTTTTAATTAGGAATATTAAAAAAACAAATCTTCAACATTCATCAATTTTAAATGTATATCACCAACTTGAAGATTTTCAGTTATAGGGAGAAGTATTTTACAGTAGGGAGATCTATCTGATGTCTCTCAGAATATACCTATATATCCTTCAGGGTATCCTGAGTGAGGGATAGACCTCATAGTATTAGAAATAGTAAAGCTTATACTCATGTAAATTGAAATGTTTTATTCATTCATTGCTTTATTATATTTATATAGTGCATACTCTCCAAAGAGTTCCAGGTGCTCATCAAAAGACATTGAACAAAGAACATATAAAAACATCAAGGAATAGGGTTGTGGCTCAGTGGTAGAGTGCTTGCCTAGCATGCATGAAGCCCTGGGTTTGATCCCCAGCATCAAAAAATATATATCAACAGTGAAAAATAGGAAGTATAGAAATATAAAAGCAAGGTAGGCTCAAGCAGTGGCAAAAAGGATTAGCTAGACAAAATGCTTTGGATACTCATTCTGTTTCTCTTCTGCAGAGTTACTTCAGAAGACTTTTACAAACATATTTTACCTCATTTGAAAGGAAGCCCATTGTAGATAGTCCTGTGAGATTGCAGGAGAAAGGAGGAGGCCAGAACCAGGCTTCACCATTAGAACATGTACTTAAAGTTATCCCTGGCCACTGCCACATCACCTCACCTCACCTCACCTTAGCTTGCCACATGATTAGTTTTTATGTTGGATATTTGGATCATGATAGTCAAGGTCTCATTTTATCTAAGTGTAAATATTACTGAGGGATAGGGAGCATATTAAGCCATTTTTTCAGTGATATTTGCTTGTCATTTGGGGGCTGAGAGGGCATAAGACTTTGTACAGTTATGAATAATATGAATGGGAATCTGGTAGAAGGAAAAGTTCAGATTGTTGAAGGTTCAGACTTTGTGTTCATTGGACAAGTGAGGGGCAGAGTAGGAAGGAGGACCGGCAATTGAACTTTAAAAGGAAAATGATGGAAAATTTAACTCATCTTTACTAATACTTGCTTTCAGTTTACTCCCTGGCCCATTCCCTGAAAGCCCATGGTCTTGACCCCACCACTTGTTTTTTTTTTCCTGGCAACAGTTATCTGTGTGAGTCCATTCACTTCAATAATATGAAGTGTTATCTGTTTACTATGAAACCATACCAGTATGAGTTCTAAATACCACCATGGAGAAATTAGAACTTGTTTTACAACCTTACTCTAGAGTCCGTTATCTAGTGTGGAAGCAAAGACATTGAAAAGGTTAGGTTAACATGATCATAATCTTACTTTCAAATATCTCTCACATTTGCCTTTGAACTTTCCATTTCCAAGTTAACATTTAGGCCTTTATTATCTCATGCCTTGATAATTTAAATAGATTCTTAATTGGCCTACCTTGCTTCCTGTTCTCACTTAGTCCACCCTATTCAATATATTAAATGGCTTTTAACAATTTTATCATGTCATGCCTCTGTTCAAAGATTTGCTAGTGCTGACAGTTGCCCACTGAATGCAATACCAATTCCTTAGCATGGTGCTCAAAACCATTTGTGACCTGGCTTCAACCACTCTCTCTAGACTTATTTTCCAACATTCCGGACACACAATATATTCCATCCAAACTGAACTCTTTCAGTTTCTAAACATGCCTTAAGATTCTCTCCTTTTCTACCTTTGCTATTCCATTCCCTTTTACCTAGAGTGTTCTTCCTCATCATCTTTATTTTGGCTCAAATGCCATTTTTTTTTCTAAAAATTTCTTTGATTAACCAAGTTAGACATGACATTTCCCTTTGAGTATTTAAGTTTTATGTCACTTATTAGGCTCTTACCACAAATTTCCTTGTCTAGTCTTCATATTAGATAGCTCTAGATTCGAATATTAAACTGCCTATTTGACATTTACACTTACATATCTCATAGATACTTCAAATAAAACATGTTAAAAATGAACAGTGATATACCCCAGGACTGTTCTTTCCTCCACAGTTTTCCTTGTCTTAGAAAATGGCACCTCCTCCCACCCAGTTGCTTAAACTGGAAAACTGGAAGTCATCCTTAGTTTTCTTCTTCTCTCATCCTCTACATCCAGTCTGTCAAGTCTGTCAAGTCTGTCAGTTCTATTCCAAAGTATATAGTGACTATTCATTTTATCATAGCTAACTTAGTCCATCTCCAATGGATTATAACAGCTCATAACAGGAGTTTTTATGTCCACTCTTATTCCCACAATTGTATTTTCACTAGAGATGTGATTTTTAAAATTGCAAATTAAATCTTATGACTTCTCTGTTTAAAGCCATTAAACAACTTCTCATTGCACTTAGAATAAAATCCAAACCCCTTACAACATCCTTTAAGACCACTGTCTACTTCTTTTACTTTGTTTCATGAATCCTTTTATCCTACACCACTTTTACCCTGGCTCACTGTGGTCTTTCCACTGAAGCATGTCAAGCTCTTTCATACCTCAGAGCTTGTACCTTTACTGTTCCATCTCCTGAGACATGTTTTACCCCTACTGTTCCTTCTAGAATGCTTGTATCTCCATTCATGGCAAGGCTATCTATTCCTTATCCTTCGGGTCTTGATATGTCACTTCCTCAGACAGGTCTTTCTTTTTCTCTATTATTCTCTCATTTTTTCCTGTTTTTTCCCCAAACTCATATCAATCATCGCTCGCAATTTATAATTATATATCTGGTCACATACCTTGATTCAACAAATATTTATTGAGTACCTACTGTGTGCTGCAGTGGTGAACACAACACATATGATCCCTGTATGACTCCCTCAATGATAAGTTGCATGGTGGGCAGGGCTATGCCTGTTTTTGTCAACCACTGTATTCTACTTCTTATCTTAGTACCTGGGATATAGTAATCAATAAATGATTGCTAACAAATGAGTTTTTGATTGGAACTGTGTTTTGTTCATATCTCCCTGTCCCCTAAGGATTTAAAACAGTGTCCCATTCATAGACAGGGTTGGATAAATACAGCATGAGTGAGGTAGATAACAATCCTGGGCAATAAACTCTGAAAGACTGAGACAATGCATTGCTCAGGTTATTGGGGGTGGGTAGTGATCAGAGTGGCCTAGTGTTTCTCTTTAGCTAATCTATGACGTGAATAATTAGAAAGGCTGACAAAGGAGGAAAGGAATATGGGTGTTCTTTACTACAAACATTCTGAATATTATCTAAAAGACTTCTCTATCGGGCAAATTTTAAATGCTAAGGACTATAGAATAAACCCTGGAGAAGGCTATAGAGACCAGATCTCGAGACTAAGAACCAAAAGGAGAAGAAAAAAAATCTGAGGCTTCAGTATTTTCAAGACTTGTCTTAGTTTATTTCAAGTGAAGAAAGAAGAGCTATACAAAAGCAAAGAACAAACAGAAGAGGTCTCAAGGAAACAAGTTCCAGGGACATGTTAAGAGGTCAGTATATATTGGTTGGATGAAAGGGACCTAGACCAGAGACTTTGTGGCACAAGGAGGCAGCAAGATTTGCTGCCCATGGTCAGTAATTGTAAATTATCTGGGCTAACAATTTAGAGGCTGAGGCATAATTGGCAGGTTCTTAGTCCCAAGGGCAATCTCAAGACAAAATGTCTTTCAGGATTCCATACTATGAATTAAAACCCCTTTCTGTAATACTCTATTAGGAGTGAAGCATGGAGGTCTGCTCAGGAATGCTGGATATGAGCTCAGGCTAAGCCAAAAGTGATTGCCTCAAAAAACGACTTATGTTTCATGACAAAGGACATCCCTAAATCATGATTTATATTAGGCTGACAGGATATTTGAAAACCATACATTCTGAATCAAAAGTGAGAGCACATGCTTGGATAATAAACAAAGTAATTGAAAGAAGAACTGAGATAGTCTTAGGCATAGGAAAACTTCAGTCATTAAGTAAGACATAAATATTATTCATTTTCTTTTTCAGTGCCAGAGATTGAACAGGCCTTGTAAATGCTAAATACATGTGGTACCACTGAGATATGCCTCCAGCCCCATTTTTTTTTTTTTTGGCACTGGTGATTGAACCCAAGGGTGCATTGCCACCAAGCTACATCCCTACCATCTTTTATTTTTTATTTTGAGAAAGGGTCTCACTAAGTTGCTCAGGGCCTCACTAAGTTGCTGAGACTGGCCTTGAATTTGCAATCCTCCTGTATCAGCCTCCTGAGTCACTGGGATTACAGGCATACACCACTGTGCCTGACCCCAACCCCATTTTCTAATGGAAAATAAAATCTGCAGATGAAATTTGTTTTGTTCCTTGCCTCCATCCATATACCCAAAGTTTTTATGTGAATCACCAGAAATTCCCAAACTACTTGTAGATAAAATAGGACATATTTTGGATGCTTTCTACATCCCAAATGCCTTCCATACATCTGCCCATTGTGTTCTTGGGGGCAGACAAGATAACTTTAGGCAGGAACTGAGGAAAGTGTTCTCTAAAGGTTTGGTCTTCAAGATGGGCCCAGAAAATCCAGAAGAATTGGGAAGGTAGTGGTGTTGGGTGAGGGTTTCCCAGTTATCCCCATAAAGGATAAGAAAAGTATAAACAAAGTCACAAGATGACAGATAAACACAGGGAGCACTCATAAGTAGTTGAGAAAGAGTGAATTATCCAATTTAGAGGATAAGTAACGGAATGAACCAAGGACTTGGCAATGCTGGCAAGAGGTAGGGTATGCTGAATCTGCCTAACAATGGATGTTTTGGAGGCTAAAAATTAAGAAAGTGACTGTTGGAATCTCTCCAGTTGTCCTTAAGTTTAGAAAATTAACCCCACTCTGCAGTTCCTTTGAACTGAAGTTTTCTCTAGCTCTGGGGTATGGTGAATCATGATTCAGTTCCACCCCAGATTCTTAATAGATTTTGATGAGGGTAAAAGAGCCATCACAGGCTGTTTTCCCTCCAACTTCTCAAGTCTGCTTTTCCCCCTGGCTTCTGTTAATAGAATCTTAACAGTAGAAGCCTATCCAAGGTCTTTAGGGTATTCAGACTTCAGAGAAGAATCTTGAGACATTTTGGCCTGGGAAAGACTTTCCATACTAAATGTAGATTCAGAACCATGGTAAAAAATACACTTTACCATCTGCCCCCACATCCAAGATAAACACAATTTGATATGATTGGTACTATCCCCTTTAGGTTCCCAGTATGCTTAGATAAAAACAGTTAACCATTTCCCATTACCATATCAAGAGGCAGGTATTATTCCTATTTTACAGATGAGGAAACTGAAGTGTAGAGAATTGAAGTAGCTTTCCCATAGTGTTAAGGTAAAATCCAGGTTTGTCTGATTCCAGAGTCCAAGCTCTTTGCCAATTACACCATACAATGAGTCTCGTATTCTTTTTGATAGGAAAATGCTAAAGCCAGCCCACACTGATAGGAATTTCCAAGGAAGAGCATTCCATAATCCCACACAATGTTTAACTGCCCTCATGATCAGGAAATTGTTCACTTATGTAACGAATATCCCTCCAAACAACATGGAAATTCATTTCCTCTTGACTGGGTTTTTCACTCTGGGCCGTTGCTTGGCAGCTTTCCTGATATCAAAACAGTCATCAAGATCCTATTCTTACACTCCAGGAGGTCTTGGACTTGTTGGCCTCTGCCCGTGGGTGTTCTCACTGGCTCCTTTGAACCCCCCTCCCCAGACAGTGCTGAGTTGGGCAAGTCTCTTGGGGAGTGAGAAAGTGACACTTGAGAACATATTGGTTTATTATTACACACAGAGGAGTAAAATTAACCATGAGATGCCTCTGGAATTGCAAATAGGAGGATGTCACCGTCTTCTCATCCTGTCTGCCTTTTTCTTGATTTTTACTTCCCCATCTTTGAAACTGTTGAATTATTTAGTTGAAGGATGCATAAGTAACTTAGAAAAATCCCCTCCTTCTCCAAATTCCAGTGTGTGTTGTAGCTGAATTGCTGTTCTAGTTTTTAAACTCACTAGACTCATCTTTTCTGATTTCTTTTAAGGCTAAAATGATAAACTAATATAAATTCAGGTATGTGGCTGAATGTTTTTCTTTTCCCAGTAAATACACTTGAGTTTTAAACTGAGTCCTTTAGTGCTTTTAAACCAAGGAAGTCTTCACAGTATCATCCCATGTGGGGGATACAGATCAATTCTCTTGCATCCCACTGGGTAATTCCAGAATAAACAGGCTTAGAGGAAGCTGCAATGAGCACCTTCTCTTGTTCTTTTTGTGTGACTAGCCTTTCTCCCAAACAACCACCAAAAAGTCTGGAAAAAGCCTGAAAGTGCTATTGGACAACAGGAGCTACCACTGAAATGCTGGATTGCCTACCATAATACCAGTACTCATCTGACATCTAATTTCACATCACATCATACTCCTTATTATCTTTTTTAAAGCATGTGAGTATTCTCAGTGTTATCTCCACACAGTCATGAGTGTTTGCAAACTGAAAGTTTTCAAAGCCCTCCTAGGACATGACTTGTGAAATGGGTGTCTTTCTGGAGGAATGAGACTTAAGGAATGACAAGAAATCAGTAGCTTTCTCCTAAAAGGGACCTTATGATGTGCCCTTACATGTTGGCCTCCAGTTTTGTCAAGCCCTAAGACACTGTTGCTTGTCTTCTGGAGCAATGAAGTCTATGGAATAGAATTATAGGTGAGAGTTAGCTAGGAATTCCTAAGTATAATTCCCAGGAAAGTGGTGGGTTGTGGGTAGGAGGTGGGTGGTCGGATTACAGTCTCTATATCACTGTACTTGATAACAGCTTGTTAATCTTTTATCACTGATTATATCACATACAGTGAGCCTCAACATAGGGAAGAAGAGAGTGATAACTGCTGGATTTCCTGTTTGTGGTTCCTTTCACTGTTGAGATAACAGAATGTCTCATCAAAGCCAGTAGCCACTTAGGCAGGGAGATCAGGCTGGGCCAAGGCCAGGCTTCAGCCACCTGAGGAGGAGCACATGTACTTCCCAGCCTGGGGCCTCTGTGTCCTGGAGTGGGCAGCTACAGGCATGAAAGACTGCCCTGTGCATAGGCCCAGGGCTGAGTGGGAGGGAACATTTGACCCTGTTAGACCTCGTTAGCCTGCCTTTAGCACTGAGCCCCTACTCTCTCCTCTCCTCCTTCTCCTATACCCATGTTTCTCCTCTGGTTCAGAGCCAAAAGGCCCCAAGCTACTTGGTTGGGCACTGCTTCTGCTGCTCCACCAATTTTCACATAACTTCCCAAGGAAAGGATATGAGGAAGGTGAAGCTGAGCCTCAGAATCACTCCCTTTCTTAAAGTCCTTTAGGGGTCTTATAACTCCCAAAGGGCAATTAATAGCTTATTTGTGTGATATATCCCTGTTAGCTCCTTAGCACTCCTATTCACCCTATTTGTCAATTTCCCATAGTTCTTCAGCTGCAGGAAGCAGTTTCTTCTAATCAGCCTTCCCCACAAAGTTCAATAATGCCAGGCACTCATTTCATATGGATTGGAATTTAAGGAAACATGCGTAAATATTTTTCTTAGCCCCTGACATCTCTATTTTGAATCACTTTGTTCCTATCTCTCCTAAGAGCATCTATATCCAGCCTTGTAGGACTGGGGATGTAACTCAGTGGTACAACACTTGCCTAGCAAGCTTGAGGCCCTGGGTTCAATCTCCAACACCACAAAATACATACATACATACACACACACACACACATACACACACACACACACACACACACACACACACACACCAACAAAAATCAGATTGGTATGTTAATTCTGCCTTTAGTAGTCAGATGTGCATGACTTTTCTCCCCTAGATCAGCTGTCAAATCATCTAAGGCAGATTTTTTTTTACCATATTATGTATTGGTGCACTATAATTATACATAATGGTGAGATTTTTGTTAT